CGCTCGCCCCGCCCCGCCCCGCCCCCCGGGCGCTGGTGTGGAAGCGCGGGGCTCGTGCTCTGGACGTGCTGTGGGGACAAAGACACGGGGCTCCCCGGATTCCCCCCCCCCTCCCTCGAGTCGGCGCAACTTGAGGTGTTGTGTGGAGGATGTTTCAGGAAGTGCGTATAGCAGCAAAGAAAGGGATGAGGCGGGGAGCTGTGACAGGACTAGGGATTTCAAGGGAAAGCTGTTGAAGTAGCAGTGAGAGTTCGCAGGCAGGGAATATTTCACTAACAAGGAGAGGGATTATGCTGGGGCATGGTGGTTTGAAGCAACTCTTATCTCCACCTGCTGCTGGCAGGTGATTTATTGGCAGTAGCTGTGTACTTTGAATAGCTAGGAAGTAGACCGAGGGAATGCACCGAGGAAGCATTCTTCAGGGAACATCGGGGGCAGTGGGGAAGTAGATTTAATGGGATAGGCTAGACACAAAGGAGTGATTTCACTGGAGATATTGCCTAGGGATTACACAGGGGCAATAACTTTGCCTGAGTCATCGAGAAGGGATGGGAGCTTGCACTAAGAGAAGGAATGCTAGCAATGCTACCGGAAGAAATTTCCAAGGAGATGAAGTGGCAGCAGATGGGAAAAGTAGATGCTAATGTTAAAAATATATGGAGCTTTCAGGGGTTGGTAACTATGACAGAAGGAACCTCTCATCAATTTGCAACCATTTATAAAGGAAACAACTTTTCTAATCTCAAAAAATACTTGCTTAGTGTCCCCAGATTTTAACTACAAATAGTAGATTTAATCCTAACAATTTGAAAACATGAGTGTTTATTGTTCTTGAATTACAAGGGAGGTTGAAATCCATTCCAAATCTTGGCTGCAGCCTTCACTTTCCTGAGAACATACTTTCACTTGTAACAACAGCTATATAAAATTCAGTATTTTAGGACTTAGGATCTTTTGTCTTCAGGCCAGTTTTAAACCTAACAAATAAAAGTGTGTTTCTAGGCCTTAAAAATATCCTCTGCTTCACATTTTAAGAAAGAAAAGAGATAAGGACTATTCTAAAAAAAGTGTTTCCAGCCTACTAAGTTGTTCCCAGTTGTGGCTAAGGAAAACATGCAGGGTGATACTTAAACTATTTGGGACTTGATCCCTGAAAGTTCACCAGCACAGACAACCTTATTGAGATGCAAACATCTGACAGTCAGCATTTTTGCATTGGGCATTCAAACCACCTCACCACAACATAACTTCTGTTAATAAGTAACAGACTGACTGTAAGGATCATAGAACCATTTTGGCATGTAAAAGACCCAACTTTTTTCAGAGAAGGGGAAAATATCTTGCAACAATAGCTGATGCAGCTACAGGCTACAGCACCAACAGTAAATCATATTTGTGACGTACTGCAAATAAATAACACTCTCACTGAGTCTCTTCTGAATGATTGTTGGGCTGAGTGCTAATTCCTACAGTATGTAAAAGGGAGCAGAGGAACGAACTGGTATCCTGTTGGTTGCACAGGTCTGCCTAGGAACCATCCTACCACTGAATTGTAGGAGGTTTTTTCATAATCCCTGTCATGTAAACAAAACAAAAATTATTTTTGCATCAATAAACAAAAATTGAACATTTTCAAGAACTCTGCTATATATACTCTATATATATTATCAAGTGTGTACTGTGCTAAATAACTAGCGCTGGTAGGAAAGTTTTCAGTATTCAGCATCTTTCTTGTAACGTTTCTCACTTCACAAGCAAGTTTCATATTGAGTTTAATCACAGAACAATCCAATTCTATATGATTTGGACTATTCCCTTGTCTTCAGGTATTTAGGTAAACCTAGAAGCCTCAGCCCTGAAGTTTTTCCTACCCAGACAACCCTCCCTCAAAAAGAATTTTCCAAAGAGATATTGGAAGCAAGGTAAATGAACAGCATAAGTCAATGAGTGATCCCCAGGAGGCAAATGAAAGTTGGTCAGGTGATGAAACATGGAAGACACCACAGAGGAGAGGCTTTGATTTTGTTTTTCTTTGGAAAAATATATTGCTCTCTATATATAGAAAGATATATACACTACAACCCTAAGAGTCTTCAAAACACATACAGTTACAGAAAGACATACCCATTGCAGTACATGTACCCACATTTGCATGCACCCATTGCAATCCTCACACCCGTGCTCCAGTGCACCCGTCCACATTCCTTTCACCGTTACAATTACACTGTCCCTCTGTTTAGTCTCCAGCCTCTCTCTAGTCTCTAGTCTTTTAGTCCATGTCACTGTGGAGCCAGGGGCTCCATCATGCAGATGAAGGGGACCGGGGAGAGCAAAGAGCCCTGCCAGATCCCTGACTCTACTGCGATCTGCATGCTCAGGAACCTGTTGAGCAGCACCCCACTCCTCACAAGAGGTACATCAGAGCTAGGTGGCTAAGTCCATAGCTGTCATGTGTAGGGTGGCCAGTCAGGCGCTGGAGCGCTGTGGTGTTAGGCACCGGGGGCACTTACACACATTGGGAGCCTGCTCTGACACACTGGAAATACAGCGCCTCGGAGCAGACTCGATTCCTCGAAAACTGACACGCTCCAGCAGCCTTCTGCATCACGTGTATCAGTGGTGCAGCGCGCCTCCGCGCTGAGAAAACGGCAGCAGTGCGCTTTAAAGTAAAATGAGTTCAATGCGCTTTAGTTCAAAGCTCACCGCCACCATTTTCTCAGCGGAGAGGCGTGCCGCGCCGCTGATACGTGTGATATACAGACGCTTCTAATTAGCACAGCTCGCCAATCAAATAGCTTTTAATGAGCATGGCTTACTAATGCCGTATCAGAAACACAGGTAAAAAAGCCCTGTATGCATATCGTGACAAAAATCTCTGCAAGACTTTGACCTTCTGAATCCCCGCAGAGTTTTTGGAGCCAGAGGGACTGAGTAGGAGTGCAACCCAGGGGTGTGAGGGATGCCTGGGCTACCTGTCCCCACTTCCACAGGCACAGGGAGTGAGGCAGCCCTGCACCTGAGGGCAGTGTCTGGCTCACACAGCCCCCTCTGTAGGGCAGCCATCATAGAGGACAGTCTGGCTGTCCTCTATTAATATGAAACCCGATGCCTTTATGTCCTCTATGAGGAAAATAGAGGACATCAAGATGTCGGGTTTGCTATCATCAGAAGACAGAGTAGCAGAAAACTGGAATGTCTTCTATGATGGCTACCCTACCCCGCAGGAAGGAGATCGGCTTTGAGCCGGGGACAGACCTGGGCAGCTCCCAGCTTTGGTGCCTCCTGTCACCATCTTGTATTTATGCCGCTGCTATTTGTCCCTGGGTGTGTCCGTGCATGCACAGTCTGGCACGTGACAAAAGGACCCAGCATAAATGCCGGCCCCAGCAGCCTTACCTGGTTCCTGAGGGCCTCCAGTAACAATGAGCCAGCCGCTCAGAGCCTGGCCAGCAGCCAGAGCATGGTTCTGGCTGGCCATACTCCAGTTTCTGGCAGTGCATGCTGCTGCCACCGAGTGCACCACGCTGCTTTTTTAGTGGGGGTTTTTTTAACCCAGGATCTCCTGGTATAAAAACCCCACCACACTGCTAATTAGCAGTGCAGTGCACAAGTGCACATGCACCATGTGCAGTTTGCAGCACCTCAAACAGCTTTGAGGCTCTGCAGACCACACACGCATGCTCATGGGGACGTGCCCATGGATTCCGATTTGAAATCTGTCTTTGGGTGAGAGTCACTGTTCTAGATAGGCAATCACACATTCTCTCTCTCAAGCATCTTTCCTGCTTCTTGAGTACTTAAAGAGATTTTTTATTTGTCCATGCATTTGTAGCTGCTTGTTCTTCAAATTCCCTCTTAATCTCCATTTTACATGTTATCTGCCAAATTCTGTTATCACTTGAGCTAGGTTTCATTTTTTAAAAGAACAGCACAAACAAACTGCCATTTAACACGATATTTTGCTTGCCCTTGTTCTGAGCTATGTATACCAACTACAACACAGGCAAGCTATGCTGAGGCAGCATCCAAGGTGATTTTCTATGAATTTTAATTTCCTCACTCTTCCATTCAGCTTGTTGTTATCAACTTCATTTATTTTTTAAATCCCTCTCCTGAACTTAAGTGTGGTAGTACCTGTCTTAAGACAAAATTCCCCTCTGCAAGAATTTCATGTTACATTAAGTGCTAGTTGTTGCAGCTATATTTATTTTCTGATTCAACTCCTATTATATGCAAATATGCACATCATAAAATTAATCTAGTTTTGCTGAACAACAAATATTATACACTTCTACAAAGTAAGGCAACTTATAAGGTATCTTTTGAAAGTTTTAGCCACTGAAAGCAGACCACTTTCATTTCTTTTACAGAAGTGAAAAGGGTTTCTTTGGATAAACCCGTTTGTTTACCTTTTATGCAAGAAAATAATTTCAGCTCATTCCAGTAAATAGCACAATACTGGTAAGTAATATTTTGGAAAGCTGGATGACTTATTTAAAGATTTCAAAACACTTTAAAGATAGGTATTAATTAGGCCTTAATACCCTTGTGAGATTACGACCATTGTCTGGTCTGTGTTTTATGGACAGATAAAATGAGCCACTGGGTTCTGGACCCAGGTGAAACTTGTCAGTGACAGAGCTAGAATTTATACATATCCTGACTGATGATTTAATCCCTCTCACTCTGTAAAGCAAATATTGACCACCTCAAAATAACTGTAAAATCCTTATTGATGCTATAAATATTCCGTCCTCAAAAGTTATGCATGTTAGCTTTTCCCCTGAAGTGATAAGCAATAGAAAGCCCAAACTTCAGAGACACAGAACATGAAACTTCCTGAAAGCAGAAAACCCTTTTTTCCCCTCTAAGTTGTGGTTAGTTGCTTGCATTTAAATGTAGCAGAAGTACAGTACTGGCATGGTAAAAGAAAAATGAAAAAGGATTAGCTTTAATTTATGAATTGGCACATGCATAAAAAGTAGTATGTTATCTGAAAGTATAGATTCTGGAAAAACACAACTTTAAACACATGGAAAAGGTCATTGCTTTGTAACATGAAAGGCGAAGGAGTTTAATCAGAACTCCATGATTGGTAAACTGTCCCAGAGTGAATAAATGTAAATATGTTGCCAATGAGTAATGGCAATTAATTAAAAGGCCTCCTGTACTGCCATCGGATTTCATATTTTTGTTTTGCTGTTACCAATATTACTACAGTCCTGTTTACCATAACATGTAGGTGCTTCAGATCCTTAAAATAATTGAAGTGTGTGATGCTTGCAGACAGTAGGCAAAACAAGTATGGCTTTATACGTTTGTTGGAAGTAATATAATCTGTAAACCAAAAAATGTATGTGGGAAAATAATGGTGTCATTCCCATAAAAAGAAGTAGAATTATAAAAACATAAATTCAAGATAACCTGTTTTTATCTGAACAAAAATAATGACACTTTTTACAATGTATAGTCTGTTACTCCTTCACTTGCAGCTGTCATATTTTGTGGTAGCTTCCGCTGACCTTCATTAGTATTTAAC